GTGGAGTGTACGCCAAACTGGCTCAAGTGGGTGGGAGAGTCCGGCGCTAACATGGTGAAGTGAGCCTCTTGCAGGTCGTCGTTCAGGATTGTGCCGTTTTGGTTGCGTCGACTGTTGCCCCAAGCGATCAGGTCGCCAGCGATGATGTACTTCTCACGGTGTCGAGTTAGTCTGATGATGTCTCTCCGCAGGTCTGCTACCGACCCGTCCCTGATGGTGACTTGTTTGGGACAGTAGGCCGCAATGATGGTAATAGGGCCGACAGGAGTGGAGACTTCCACACCCACCGCTTCGATCATCTTCAGCTGGAAACTCGGTAGCAGTCGACAGCCAATATTTCTCCTTAATGCGATAGCCACTCCTCCTCCGCAGAAGCTGGTCCGGTCTAGCCTTAAGGCCCAGGAGAGCAATGACAGCGGAAGCGGAACGGCAACGGCAGCGGAAAAGCCCGATCTGAGTAAGCCAACTTGTCGGATTGAAAACTTGTTGGAACCAAATCGACTTCGGTTAGGCATCTTGACGTCATTTGTGACAACTGTCAAACTTTCCGTTTCCGTTCCGCTTCCATCCACATTGCGTTTGGGCCTTTACGAGCCGAAAATCGGGGAGGTGAACATTTATCTCCGGCTTTAGGTGTGTTTCGGTGATGACAGCGATGTCTATGCTATGTTCATTGAGGAAATCAACGAACTCAATGATTTTGCTCTTGAGCGAGCAAGCGATCCAGTTGGCTATTTTGATGGCTTTACGGTCCATACTTTGAGGGTCATAACTGCACGAAGCTGTTCAGGTAGTGTCTTGATGGTGCGTAAGATTCGTCGCTTGTGAGTGGCTCGGCTGGGCCGCAGCGGCAGGCGATGCTGAACTGAACGTTGGCTGAGACCCGCTTGATCTGATGTTGGATTCGTAACGGGGGAACGCTGGTTTAGTGGAAGCGGTGCTAGGTTCGAGACCATACGACGAGCCGGAAGTATAGGAAACGTTATAGCGGTGGCGACCAGGTCGATTCCTCGTAGAAGCCTGTTGTCGGATCTGGATGAAGGCCGCTCGCTTGGGACATCTCCTATCGCTGCCCAGATGGTTGGAATCACAGTTCACGCACTTAGGTTCAACTTCTTCTTCCTTCTTGCAGGCGGTAGTATTGTGAGCCTCAGCACATTTGCCACAACGAGCCTTCATGTGACAATTTTTCGTACCGTGCCCAAATGCCAGACAATTAGTGCACTGTGTCACGTCACGGTGCCGAGGGTGATACTGCTCTCATTGAATCACGATGTTGAACAGCGCATGAATTTGCCGCAGAGAAGCCACACTGGTGGAGTCCTTATCGAAGTGTACCAGGTACAACTGGTCCCGGAATGCACGGACGCCGTTCCCTTTGCTAAAAGAGAGAGGATTCCCCCGCTTTTCACGCCGGTGAAGGATGTTGCCAAGCTGGGTGCCGAACTGGCAAAACACAAACTGCTCCAAGCAAACCATCATTAGGGACGGCTTGGCCGCAGACCTCCGTAGAGACATCATCAAGCTAACACGACGACGGCAAAATTTCGTCATCGCTGGCGACCTGAACGCCAAGCATCAAGCCTGGAGCAATAGTCGGCGAAACCAGAACGGCACAATCTTATACAACGATCTGCAGGCAGCCCACTACAAAATCCTGTGTCCTGACACTCCCACCCGGTTGAGTCGATCCGGAGCCCATGCCACCATCAACATCTTCATCAGCAACATTGGCGATAACATCTCTCAACCTACCGCCTGTCAGGAACTGAGCTCGAACCACTATCCGGTGGTGGCCAAAGTAGGTTCCTCGGCGAATAGGTTTCAAGTTTCCCGGCGAAATTACCACAGTGTCAACTGGCAGCAGTATCAGCGCTGTGTGGACACAGCAATCGATTACGAGGTCCTACCCGAGTCATTCGAAGAAGTCGATCAGTGTCTGCAAACCATCGAAGAGGCGATATCCCGTGCCAGGGAGCAACACGTACCAGCGTCTTAGTCATACTCTGAACCTTGATAGCCCAACCAAAGATCTTATCAGGCTCCGTAACACCATTCGTAAGCAGTTTCAGCGTTCTGGGCTGCACCACTTGAAGACCAATGTCAATAGGCTAACCAAAATTATCCAGGCCAGGATGGTGGAACTCAGAAATAACTATTTTGCCAACAAGATTCGCTCCCTCCCAGATTGTGCAAAACCATTTTGGAAGATGGCCAAAATTTTGAAAAATAAGTCGAGACCGATCCCCCCGCTTTCCTCTGTTGACCAGAATTCGGACCCATGCCTCCTCATTACCCCAGTTGAAAAGGCCAATGCGCTTGGCCAACATTTTCTGATTTCACATAATCTTGGCCAAACCATGGTGAGCCCCCATGAACCTGCAGTACTGGAGGCAATGTCTAGAATCGCGTAGTAGTGCATGATGATAGTAGACTATCGGCTGATGAGGTGATAGCAGCTATTAGTAGCAATAAAAACATGAAGGCCGCGGGTATGGATGGTGTAGTCAACCTTAAGTATTGATTTCTTCAACCATCTTACCCTTATCTTCAACAAATGTTTGGAGCTTGGCTATTTCCCTGCATCCTGGAAGTTAGCCAAAGCGATTCCAATACACAAGCCTGGCAAAGATCCTAACAGTGCCAAAAGCTATCGCCCCATCAGCCTCTTGTCCTCCATCTCGAAGCTATTCGAAAAGTTGATACTCAGCCGTCTGCTGGTGTTTTTAAATGATAATAACATCTTTCTCAAAGAGCAATTTGTGTTTAGGAAAGGCCACTCTGCCATCCACCAACTCGCACGAGTTACTTACATTATCAAGCGGAATAAGTCCGTTTCCAATACATCTGCCATGGCATTGTTGGATGTCGAGAAGGCGTTCGACAATGTCCGGCATGATGGCCTAGTGCACAAGCTGCATCGATACAACTTTCCGATCTACCTAGTGAAGATCATCAAAAACTACTTGTCGGGCAGATCCTTCCAGGTCTACTTGAAAAATGTCCCCTCTGATACGTTCAACGTTGATGCAGGGGTTCCTCAGGGTAGCCTGCTGGGGCCTATTCTATTCAACATTTTCATGTCAGACGTTCCTCCCCTGCCGGGTGGTGGCATCCTGTCAATGTTCGCATATGACACCTCAATCATCTATAAGTGTTGAGTGATCCGCGCTCTGGCGAGTAAACTACAATCAGGCCTGGATGTTCTGTTCGACTATTTCAAGGGATGGAAGAGTTGTATCAATGCAGCTAAAACACAAACCATTCTGTTTCCACACTCGAATTCACCTCGACTTGTTCCATCTTGATAGCACTCCCATTTAATGGTCGAGTGAAGTAGTCTACCTTGGTCTCACCCTCGATAGCAAATTGCTATTCCGATCCCATGTGGACAAGACATCTACCAAGTGTAACATCTTGATCAGGTCGCTCTACCCTCTGATAAACAGGAAGACCACCCTGTCCCTCAAAAACAAGCTTGCTGTCCACAAGCAGATCATTCTGCCGGCTATTGAGTATGGTTTGCCAATCTGGGAGAGTTGTGCTAAGTGCCACCACCTGAAGCTTCAGAGGATCCAAAACAAGATCCTCAGAATGATCCTTAACAGTCCACCGCGAACTCGTAATTCTGAGATTCACCACCTGGCCGGTCTTGAAACACGCGAGGAGTGAAAGACGTCCACGCTGGAAAGGTTCAGAGTCGCCTGTCAGCGATCAACCATCCATCAGATCATTCGTGATTTGGCAACCTAGTTTAAGTAGTTAGGTAGCTTCCTGTGCTCTAGTAGAAAGATTATCAATTTTTTTAATTCAAACGAAAACAATCCCATAAAAGGGTATCCTGTAAATTAGCGCTTAACGCAATCATCATATTAGAATACCCAATTAACTCGAACAAAGATGAAGAGTCAAAGGCTAATCAATTGAAATGTTAAACCAAATGTTGAATCATAAAAATAACAAAAAATAAACGTAAATTTTACTACTTACATATAAATCTATATGCATATATAGAGGTACCAGACATATTTTGCACTGCACTGTCCTCTGTGATCGATTAACGGAAAACAGATTATACGTAGTTTTCGATAGATGTCACCGCAAATAACAACAGTAACATCTGATGGAACATGAATCCAAATGCTTGACAAAATGATTAATTGTGAAATTTTTGAACTATAAATCATATTCCAAATCTCCTTTTCCCTCTCCCCATCCATACAATTGTCATACACTAACCTCGAGAAGACCGCGGGTAATCGGTTCGAATCCTTTAAGTTTAGATTTAAGACATTAATTATGTAAAACGCAAATGATAACTTGGCTCTGTAAAGTTTATTCGATCGCAATTTCAGTTGTTCCATTCTTGTTATGTCTCGTATGCAAAGCGATATGCATTTACTGGAAAACGACCAGCGGCAGCTTTATCCTGACAGAATATGAGAATGACATGATAAACATTCTTCGTCAATAACCATGTCAACAATTTCCTTCAATCTTCTGGCCTGACAACTACCGTTCTGATTCATATTTTGAACACTTAAGGCACTTATCTTTGAAAAGCTTTGAATTTCAGACACGTACGATAACATTCACTGTATAATCTCATTTTATTCGAGTTCATACCTACGTTATATTTCGTTAATCTTATGAGATTATAAAATAAATGCATAAAACTGTCTTATCTTTTCGGTCTTTTCACCGTAAAAAAAATGTGATTCATTTGTCGGACACTTTATCTTTTAAGAATATTGTGTAAGACCGCGGCTGATTAAAGGAACAAGCGTGACAGGTTTCTAATGTTTATGTCATATAGCTGTATAGGTATTTCAAGAAATCACCATTGCACCATTTGTTTAAGGTAATACATCTTCAATATTTTATATCGCCGTTACAATGCATGAGCAAATCGAATTAAAATCTTCTGTCATCTCGATTGGATCGTGCTGTTATATGGCTGTCAGTCAGCATTAAACAACTATTCTTATTATTATACTCACACTTAGTTGCGACCAAATTTACACCTCGTTAGTTGCACTAATTTGAATTCTTCTGAGTACAATTTTGTTCACCGAATTAAACACCACAAAAATACCTCAAGGCACTGAGTTCGTCACCTTACAGCTGAACACTCTTGATACGGACTAACTTGACTTCACCGTCACGTCGCTTTTATAAATGGATTGTGATAAACTAATCTGCTCCGCAGTGTCGAATTCCGATAACGATAATACATATCAAATCCACAATCTCGTACTGGCGAGCAGGGCTGAGCTTTGTCATGTCATTGACAGACTTTTGCGCAATACAAAATTGTTTTTCACATAGTCTTTGATAGGATTGATCCGCAAAAAGACCTTCGTCAAAATCTCGTTTATTTTTCGTCAATGACAAAGATTCACCTGGTAACAAAAGGTGTAATTCCGGTGTAAAAAGGTGTAAGAGAGTGTTTACTCATTCGTATGGAGAACTTTCTTAAAGCGTAGGTAACTCAGCGCATAAATTTCTCCCAACGAATGACTAAAAGTCATTCACTCTCTGAGGATTTTGATGCGTGGTCATTATCGGTTTTATTGCTTGATTTGGTTGCGAAGGAATCCATTTTTGACTGACAAAGGCGCACATTTGGAGGGTGTTCCAATTCTACGAAGAGTATAAAAATCATGAGTCATTTTTCTCATTTCTGAGATTGGATTTCTTCCCGTGCATGAACCTGCAGTACTGGAGGCAATGTCTAGAATCGCGTAGTAGTGCATGATGATAGTAGACTATCGGCTGATGAGGTGATAGCAGCTATTAGAAGCAATAAAAACATGAAGGCCGCGGGTATGGATGGTGTAGTCAACCTTAAGTATTGATTTCTTCAACCATCTTACCCTTATCTTCAACTAATGTTTGGAGCTTGGCTATTTCCCTGCATGCTGGAAGTTAGCCAAAGCGATTCCAATACACAAGCCTGGAAAAGATCCTTCCAGTGCCAAAAGCTATCACCCCATCAGCCTCTTGTCCTCCATCTCGAAGCTATTCGAAAAGTTGATACTCAGCCGTCTGCTGGTGTTTTTAAATGATAATAACATCTTTCTCAAAGAGCAATTTGTGCTTAGGAAAGGCCACTCTGCCATCTACCAACTCGCACGAGTTACTTACATTATTAAGCGGAATAAGTCCGTTTCCAATACATCTGCCATGGCATTGTTGGATGTCGAGAAGGCGTTCGACAATGTCCGGCATGATGGCCTAGTGCACAAGCTGCATCGATACAACTTTCCGATCTACCTAGTGAAGATCATCAAAAACTACTTGTCGGGCAGATCCTTCCAGGTCTACTTGAAAAATGTCCCCTCTGATACGTTCAACGTTGATGCAGGGGTTCCTCAGGGTAGCCTGCTGGGGCCTATTCTATTCAACATTTTCATGTCAGACGTTCCTCCCCTGCCGGGTGGTGGCATCCTGTCAATGTTCGCAGATGACACCTCCATCATCTATAAGGGTCGAGTGATCCGTGCTCTGGCGAGTAAACTACAATCAGGCCTGGATGTTCTGTTCGACTATTTCAAGGGATGGAAGAGTTGTATCAATGCATCTAAAACACAAACCATTCTGTTTCCACACTCGAATTCACCTCGGCTTGTTCCATCTTGATAGCACTCCCATTTAATGGTCGAGTGAAGTAGTCTACCTTGGTCTCACCCTCGATAGCAAATTGCTATTCCGATTCCATGTGGACAATATATCCACCAAGTGTAACATCTTGACCAGGTCGCTCTATCCTCTGATAAATTGGAAGTCCACCCTGTCCCTCAAAACAAGTTTGCTGTCCACAAGCAGATCATTCTGCCGGCTATTGAGTATGGTATGCCAATCTGGGAGAGTTGTGCTAAGTGCCACCACCTGAAGCTTCAGAGGATCCAAAACAAGATCCTCAGAATGATCCTTAACAGTCCACCGCGAACTCGTAATTCTGAGATTCATCACCTGGCCGGTCTTCAAACACGCGAGGAGCGAAAGACGTCCACGCTGGAAAGGTTCAGAGTCGCCTGTCTGCGATCAAACCACCAGATCATTCGTGATTTGGCAACCTAGTTTAAGTAGTTAGGTAGCTTCCTGTGCTCTAGTAGGTAGATTATCAATTTTTTTAATTCAAACGAAAACAATCCCATAAAAGGGTATCCTGTAAATTAGTGCTAAACGCAATCATCATATTAGAATACCCAATTAACTCGAACAAAGATGAAGAGTCAAAGGCTAATCAATTGAAATGTTAAACCAAATGTTGAATCATAAAAATAACAAAAAATAAACGTAAATTTTACTACTTACATATAAATCTATATGCATATATAGAGGTACCAGACATATTTTGCACTGCACTGTCCTCTGTGATCGATTAACGGAAAACAGATTATACGTAGTTTTCGATAGATGTCACCGCAAATAACAACAGTAACATCTGATGGAACATGAATCCAAATGCTTGACAAAATGATTAATTGTGAAATTTTTGAACTATAAATCATATTCCAAATCTCCTTTTCCCTCTCCCCATCCATACAATTGTCATACACTAACCTCGAGAAGACCGCGGGTAATCGGTTCGAATCCTTTAAGTTTAGATTTAAGACATTAATTATGTAAAACGCAAATGATAACTTGGCTCTGTAAAGTTTATTCGATCGCAATTTCAGTTGTTCCATTCTTGTTATGTCTCGTATGCAAAGCGATATGCATTTACTGGAAAACGACCAGCGGCAGCTTAATCCTGACAGAATATGAGAATGACATGATAAACTTTCTTCGTCAATAACCATGTCAACAGTTTCCTTCAATCTTCTCGCCTCACAACTACCGTTCTGATTCATATTTTGAACACTTAAGGCACTTATCTTTGAGGAGCTTCGAATTTCGGACACGTACGATAACATTCACTGTATAATCTAATTTTATTCGATTTCATACCTACGTTATATTTCGTTAATCTTATGAGATTATAAAATAAATGCATAAAACTGTCTTATCTTTTCGGTCTTTTCACCGTAAAAAATGTGATTCATTTGTCGGACATTTTATCTTTTAAGGATATTGTGTAAGACCGCGGGCTGATTAAAGGAACAAGCGTGATAGGTTTTTAATGTTTATATCATATAGGTGTATAGGTATTTCAAGATATCACCACTGCACCATTTGTTTAAGGTAATACATCTTCAATATTTTATATCGCCGTTACAATGCATGAGCAAATCGAATTAAAATCTTCTGTCATCTCGATTGGATCGTGCTGTTATATGGCTGTCAGTCAGCTTTAAACAACTATTCTTATTATGATACTCACACTTAGTTGCGACCAAATTTACACCTCGTTAGTTGCACTAATTTGAATTCTTCTGAGTACAATTTTGTTCACCGAATTAAACACCACAAAAAAACCTCAAGGCAATGATTTCTTCACCATACAGCGGAACACTCTTGATAAGGACTAACTTGACTTCACCGTCACGTCGCTCTTATAAATGGATTGTGATAAACTAATCTGCTCCGCAGTGTCGAATTCCGATAACGATAATACATAGCAAATCCACAATCACTGGCGAGCAGGGCTGAGCTTTGTCATATCATTGACAGACTTTTGCGCAATACTAAATTGTTTTTCACATAGTCTTTGATAGGATTGATCCGCAAAAAGACCTTCGTCAAAATCTCGTTTATTTTTCGTCAATGACAAAGATTCACGTGGTAACAAAAGGTGTAATTCCGGTGTAAAAAGGTGTAAGAGAGTGTTTACTCATTCGTATGGAGAAATTTCTTGAAGCGTAGGTAACTCAGCGCATAAATTTCTCCCAACGAATGACTAAAAGTCATTCACTCTCTGAGGATTTTGATGCATGGTCATTATCGGTTTTATTGCTTGATTTGGTTGCGAAGGAATCCATTTTTGACTGACAAAGGCGCACAATTGGAGGGTGTTCCAATTCTACGAAGAGTATAAAAAGCGGGACCTTACAATTAGAGTCGGATCCATGTGATAAAGGCAAGAATGATAACTGTAAAAATATCGAATACTTCAACATTTCTCAATAATGATGGAGTGATATGACACTAAACTAAGGACACGAGGTACATCACAATAGATGAAATAACTGGTCGCAGTTGATTTATTTCCCAAACAGAGGAAAACATTATTCAAAAAATATTTTTTTGACGTAGGATTGCGACAAAAACCAAAATCGACCACGTTACAAAAAAGTGGTCAGGTTTTGACCACATAACTCTGTCAATAGCGAATGGATATTAATTCTAAACCAGCCAATCGATTGTAATTCCATCTACAAATCTGCTAAAATGAACACTTTATCAATTTTCAAAAGGTCACTATTGAAAATTGCACGAATGTGCAACTGTTGCTATAATAAAGAAAATCATCACCGATTGACTGCGAAAAGCGCTTTCCCTAACACAGATGTTAACATCAAATTCACGTCGCTTACACCGAACGATGTTTATTCAATAATCATCAGCAGCAGCAGCAGTGCTTTCGGCGCGTGGTTGTAGATTGTTCTCCAGTACACGAAAAATGGCTGCCCACAAGTGCGAGCTGCAGCCCACTGAGCGGTCCATTCGCCGAAGAAGGAGGAAGAAAATGCACCGCTACTGATCGGATTTCAGTTGCTCGTCGTGAGCCGCTGTGGGCCATCTATACCAAGCGCGTCACCGTTTTAAACAACATACAGCTTGCCATCCTAATCTGTGCTGAACTCCTTAATAGCTCAGCATTATTCAACCATCACGGCGGAACGGTTCTTTTCAGGACCACCATAAATTTGTTAAAGAGTATTTTCTGAACACTGTCTTGTCAAGGTCATTAATCTGTAACTGTTCGTTTGTCCCGGGCTCCCGGCAAGTTCAGTAGCAAGATACCCTTTGAGCTGGGTCTCAGGATTGGCTTAGGTAATCACGAAGAGCTTCGTGGACAAGATGTGCAGCGTACGGTCGCCTGACTAGAGATACTATGTAGTGTGAATTAAAAGAATTACGTTGACGATCAACATGGGTTTTTATTAAACTAATTAGTGGGATTGGGTTAGTCTATTGCAGTTTATGGTTCTGTTTGTGGGTGTGGGTAAAATAAACTGTGTTCTTCGGTACGGCAACGT